TTATTTTCATGTTTCTGACCAGTTCGCAGATCCATAATATTCTTTCAAAAGACTAATATAGACTTTAGAAGTTATCAATCCAGATTAAAAGGTATCTCCAATATTAGGAACATAAACTCCGTTTCTAACTGTTCTTTGGTTCATTTTTCCCAAGTATTCATTCCGCTACCTGACTCGAAGATCTGATATCTGCTTTTTTTCTCTAAACTAAACGTTCTTTTAGTTTACAAAAGTTCTTGTTAACAGTTTTTATCTGATCAAAATCACTCGCACTATATAGGCAATTTTCATTTACAATTAGTCAGGTATAATGGGTTTAAGTCTTCTGGAACTTTACTGACATAAGTTATAGAATTTAGTTGGCTCTCACAGTCACAGAAACCAGTTTCTATCCCTTGATAATTTAAAGACGCATGTCCTAAAACTTTTCTCGGAAATCATTTTAGAATCTCAAATTTTCTCTCTCAAAATCCACCCCACTACGAAGCTGCTGGAAGCATTAATTTCTAAGTAATAGGAGAAATCTTTTAATTTGTCTAGATCGATATTTTTCAATAAATTTTCAGTTCTGGTGAAATCGGTTGCATTGTTCTATTATGTTACTGAAATGCGTTCTTGGTGAGCTATGAATCTTCTAACTGTCAATTATAAATTATCTGTTGATAGAGAAATCAGAAATTCTAAGTGTACTGCTCTAAAAATTGCATATCTTAAAACCAGGATCCATACCTTCTTGCTTTCTTACAGGAGCAATGGACCTGCCATACCCACTACAATAATTTTGAAAATGCAGGTCATTTTACACGACCTTATATATACAATTTCGGTATTGTCGTTTGCAATAAAAAGGGAGGAGACAACTAAATGATATGGCAGATCCATATAGAAAATTTCAATGTTCTATGGCTAATCGTTTTTGAGTTATGCGAGATACATGCGCGGATATGTAACGCACAGACGTCACGAAAAGGTTCATTTTGAATACCTTTTGCAATCCGTTTTGAAACGAAGAGTCTTTTATTCTATGTGTACGTACAAACATCACGAAAACAAGCATCTAAATGGATTCGGAAAGGTCAAAATTTACATTTACTTTGAAATATGATACCCACAATTTTCGCAATTATAATACCTCCTTTACTTTGTACAAGGTAGTAAAAATGAAACTGAGGTGGAAGTATTTTAATACATGTGGCAGTTACTATAGTTATTGCAGGAGTAACGAAAAGAAAACCAACTGCATAGTTCTCATAGAAATTATGTATGGGTAATGAAGAACAGAAACACAATCTGTGTGTTTATCCAACGCGAACATTATAACGAAAATTGGAGGAAGCCAAATTTTATACGGGAAGACATTGGCAATAAAATGCGCTTCGTATAAGCTACAGAATTTTACAAACTTGTCTTAGTTAGGTATGTTGACACAAGTTTTAGGTGACAGTTACTGAACTGTGAGGAACCTGTTTAGCGAAGTGAGATAGACAAGAGCTGCCGTTCCGATTAAAGGGAGACAGAAGTGCATTACTGATGACGACTATGTGGTGTTTCCTAGGCAGCTTTAGTTTATGAAGATCATTACGAGAATAATAAATCAACTTTAGTACGTTAGTTGCAGCAATACGTTTTGATGTTAGAAAATAGGGCAAAACGTTCTGCGAAATCAGGACAATTTTTAGAACAAATTGTTACTAATTCTTCATTAATTGAACTTAATTATTTATCAATACAAATTTTTCGAACAGCTAGCTCGGTTGCCCTTTCTAATTGCTCACCTGAGGCAAGTGCTTCACTTCCCTCTCTCCTGTCCCGGGTTTTCCAGTTTCTAATGAATTCGGAAGCAAAATTTACAACATTAACACGGAGTGTTTCATGTTTTTCATCCTAGTCTCTACAGTTAATTTCATGTGAGAAACTTTCGATTTTAAGACCTGCATATTTGGCCAAATATCAAGTAAAGCTGTCTGTTTATTTATATGTATTAGAATAAATAACTTAATCATCTAAAGTCAAGCTGAGGAATATTTTCTAAATTCATTTAATATTTCCAGAGCTCTCAAGTTTCTCCAGAACCATCTTTAATTGGAATGCCTAATAAAGCAAAATATTTGTAGTTTTAAAATGCCTCTTTCGCTACATTTCATACGCATTGAGATGCATCTTATCTCCAGTTAGTTAGAATGAAGAATATAAACGCGCTGTGCGATGTCGATAAGAAAACACGGACAGGAAAGGCGTGTTCAAAACATCAGTGGTGTAAGTCATAACTTTTCATATATTCTACAAGTAAAATTAATGTTCCGTGTTTCACTATCAATAGAAATGGAATTATTTTAATATTTATGATTGAGCTTTTATGTTTTTCTTGGCTGTAGAAGCAATATAAATCATCAAAATAATCGATAAAAAATTTCTATGTCTGGAGAAATGTATTAAAGGTAAGTGTAAGGACAACATATTACATACGCTATACACTGCTCAGAACGTGCAGTGCAATCAAAAATTAATTAAACATATTTTGCAATCAAATATCACCATTAAAAAATTTAGCCGATACTTCGTGTTCAGCTAATTGAACCAGAAAAAATATAGCATCGTTTACCTGCAGATTAATTTATTTAGAATGGCACATGTGTATCTGCTGTCTGCGACCAAATTAAAAATATGTTAAGGAAACTGCAATAAAAGAAGAATGAAAGACGCATTTGATTAATTATCTCACAAATAGATAAAAATCGGAAGACTGGTGCAACAAGAAATGTTTTGCTAAGGAACATGCATTACATTTTATGCATCGAGCGTATTGCCTTCGATATTCCAGAAAATAAAGATAATGAAAGCAAACTTTGGAAGAAAAATTAATCATAACAATATATGCCACTGAAAAATATAAACATATCGTTATGCAATTTCAACAGCTACATGATATTAAAAATAAATTAACTCTTTAATGTATTTTTAAAATAACACTTCTGCGCATTTGTATTCTTTTCAGTTACAGTAATCTTTGATAAGCTGTATCAGTGTTGTTAGTGGCAAAACGTATCTAATGGGTTTTTTCTCCTATCTATTTGATTCCAATGGGAACTCTTATTTCGTCTTCTTTCCAGCTTCTGCTTAAATTCCTGACTGTATTCGAGGTTCCTAATAAAGTTGGTTGCGTGGCTTATTTGCAGGACCACGTAAAATGTAAATATGAGAGGGTCATATTTCTAAAGGATTTTACGTTGCAAAATCCTTTACAAAGTCTTCCTTTTTAAACCTTTTAAAAATAGAAACTACATTTGGAATACAAACTTTATTTTCAGTGCAAACTTTATTTACAAAGAAACGAACTTGCAGAGAACTACATTTGCTTAGGGTAACATGTTTTAGATAGCATTACGGACTTTGTCTAGTTCTCTCCATTACCGCTTCTCATTTTCTTTTCGTACGCTACCTCAAACGACGGTAGTAAAAGCTGATTACCACACCAACTGGGCATCTATTCGAATCAAGTATAATGTATGATAGCTATAGCTGCTTATAAAAATGAAGGAAATTGAATTTGTAGATCTGAAATTCTTCTTCATAAGTTTACTTGGTGAGAAGCAAAGACAGATACGATATATTCCAATTCCACCCTTTAGATGTTTCTGTCAAGAATGGAAAGACGCTGTGAAGTAGACAGTTTATGCCTTTTTTATTCATCAAGGCAAGACTCACCAACAACCGAACAGTATAAAGTTGAACAGTCAATTGAGTTAGAATCGCAGCCCGGCCTTCCGAGTGAATTTACTTTACAGCCAAAATGGGCTGAACCCGAGCATTAAAAGGGAGGGGGAAAAGGAAGTAAAATAAGTAATGAAAAACGCAAGGTAAGACATATAATCGCAAGGTAGGACATTATTACACATACGCACACATACGTAGACACACACATGTACATTAAAAAAAAAAGGAAGAGAGCTCTATCTTTTAATTCCGATTCTATCCTTCCCGTGCGATTTTTATATTTCTCTTAGAGTAATAACCACGTTTGCTGGTAATTTCAAAATCTTCTCGGGGACCATCAGTTAATTCACATGATTCCAGAAAATGTATATTATCACCCACTACATTATAAATTTTACAAAAAGGATTGTCCTGGACACCAAATCTTGATAAATATTGTAGGAAGCGGCCATGGGCCCCCCCCCCGTAACAAGTAACTGAAGTCGATATCGAACAATGTTCGATCGAAGTCGAATCGCTGAACAGTGCTTGTTCGATCTTAGGCTCAAATCTTTGAGAATGCCCAGTTTGTATGAGGAGCTTCCTGATTTTCTCCGTGTCTATCGTGAATACGGCAGAGCAATCCAGAGCATTTCGTAATAACTATACTATAAACTACGTTTTACTACTCGTTTTACTATAAACTAAATAATCCTTAACCCATTCTCTGCCATGATCCCCATATGGGGATCACCTACATTTGTATACATTGTGACGTCATGCTGCACCTGGGTGGTCCCTTACGGGTGGTCATGCTTTCCTGAAAACTGCAACTAAGGGTAGAAATCTTAAACAAACACGTGAACTCAGTTAGTTGAGCTCACGAGTTTATTTTTCTTGCTCTCTCGTTACTTTTTCAAGAGAAAAATAATACGGTTTATTTTAAAGCACAAAAATGTTACTTAGGAACAATTATTTTTGTTGTACTGAATTTCTCTTGATCATTGGTATGTAATTATATATTATTTATTCTCGTACTGTAATTTGGATGGGTCCAATAAACCTAGATATATCGATCCCCATTTGGGGATCATGGCTGATACTGACTAAAATTGTAAAAAAAAAAAAACGGTTTTTCTTTTTTTCCAGAAAATGTCGCGTAAAAGATATCTTTCTTTAAAAGAAATAGAAGAAATTGTAAATTCTGATGATTGTTTCTTGCATCTGACGATGCCTACGATAATAGCCCCATAGGTATTGTTGAAATTCCATCAGAAAGGGTTGATGAGATTTCAGATAATGAGGACATGGATGACAACGTAATTGATGATGAAGAACCACTTGATGTTCCCGGGTGTGTTAAAATTCACCATGTGGCAGGATTTGAGGAAAATGTTTTAGTGAATGCAACTGAATCTTCAGCAAATGAAGTAGCAAAAGGTACCGGCTTACCACCTGCTAAAAAGAGAAAAGAAGTATTGACTTCCAATTGGAAAAGGAAGCAACCTAACTACTCGAAACTATATGAAAATTCTGACGTTATAGAGACAAGACGAAATGATGTCATTAGACAATTCCGGGGAAAATCCCCGTTAGAGTGTTTTGAAATACGTTTTGATAATGAAACTGTCACCTATATTGTCCAGCAGTCTGTAATATACGCCAGACAGAAAAACAATCATCAATTTCAGCTTTCTAATAACTGCCTAAAAATTATTGGAATACTTCTTTTCACTGGCTATCATTCACTTCCGCAAGAACAATTATATTGGTGCGAAGATGAAGACATGATCATTCTGTGTGTTAGAGCATGCATGAGTTGGAATAGGTATCTGGAAATGAAACTGTACCTACATATCAGTGACAACTCCGATTTAGAAGGATTCCACTAGGTGAACGTGATAACCTCTTAACGATTCGCCCATTGATTGACAAGCTGAATGACAAATTTCAACAATTACGGTGTTTTCTGAAAGTCTGAGCATTGGCGAACAAATGGTTCGTTACTATGGACATCACTACTTCAAACAATATATACGTGGTAAGTCAGTGTGGTTTGGGTTCAAACAATGGGATATCTGTTGTTCACAGACTGGATATTGTTATCAGACTCAAGTGTATGAAGTCAAATCAAAGAAATTAGGAGATGATGAAAGCATCAGTGGGCTTGGGACATCTGTTGTCCTTCAGATGGTATCTGTTCTTCAGACACCAAATGCTCATAAAGTTTACTTCGACAATTTTTTCACAGGAATTTCTCTGATGAAACATTTGCAGGACCTTGACGTTAGAGCAACAGGAACTGTTCGATTCAACAGAATGAACAAATGCCTTATTGCAATATACAAATAGATAAGGAAAAAAGAACGCTGGGCATATGACTACAAATTTGATTCCTGTAATGAAATTTTAGCTGTCACGTGGAATGACAACAGTTCTGTCTAATCATGAAACTATCGAACCAATATCAGAGGTGAAGCGATGGAGTAGAACAGAGAAGAAAGATATTCAAGTACCAAAACCATACCCAATATCAGAATATAACAAATGCATGGGTGGAGTAGACAAGATGGATTGGAATGTTCAAAAATACAGAATCAGAATAAGGGAGAAAAATGGTATTTTCCTTTTCTTACTAATGCCATTGACGTAACACTGGTTAACGCACTGTATTGTATTTCAAATGATAAAATTCCATTGCTAGATTTCAGGAGAATTGTTGCTAGAGGATAACTTGCTTTATCTTCAGAACTCTCAGATGCAAAAAAGGGTGGAAGGAATTATTTCACTAAAGCGTCAATTAATCGTGTTCCTACTGTTATCAGAACATCTGGTAATCATTATATTGAACGGACCGAAAATGGTAAACAAAGAAAATGTGCAGTCTGCAAAACAAATGCAAGAAAATAATGTGGAAAATCTAATGTTGGATTACACGTAGACTGTTTTGAACGCTGGCATTAAAAGTAGATAGTATCAGCCATGATCCCCATTTGGGGATCGGACTTAAATTTAAAATTTCTGAAAAGAATTGACGCATTTATGAGAAAACATGTTTTTTTTTTTTATTATTATTATTTAGATGTAAACTAAGAGAAATAAAATAAAAATTTGGCAGTTAATGGGTTAACTAATCCAATCCAGTGTTTTCGAAGTGCCTCTTCTCTCTACCATTGTCCTTCCTGAGGTTACATGAATGTATGTTAATTAATTACAATTAAGTAATCCACCTATTATTATTCTGTTCAAGATGAAAATTGCAGCTCAAGTAAGTAAACAAGGATGCATCTCTCTGCAGTTATGAAGCAATAATATTCCTTAGATTTCGCTTAGTTACCAAAAAACTAATTTCCATACTTTCGTCTACCAAGTTCTTTTCTTTGAACATACATATACGATGTGGTAATATTTTCATTCTCCATTTCAGAAATGTTTAGTTTGTCTTTTGATCCCTTTTCTGTGCTATCATATGTTTGTAGTTAATGCTGTATCTGCTGCTCTAATAACGAAGAGGTCTATTGCTCTGATGAAGTTTGAACGATCTTTAATTTACGTTCAGTTTGCATATCGTGTTTATTTCTGTGGGGCTAAAATCAGCAAACTTTGCATAATATTTTTGTCAATTTGCTCTGAAATTCAGCTTATTTTATATGGCATGTTGTTGAGATTAAATACAGCTGTTTCATGTAAATTGCTGATTGGTCATTTGTAGAAGAGGTCTATTGCTGAGGAATTTTATGTGATCATTATTTATGTTCAGTTTACATGTCGTGTTCATTCCTGTGGGGCTAAAATTAGCAAACTTTGCATAATATTTTTCTAAGTTTGCTCTGAATTTCAGCTTATTTTTCATGGTATATTGCTGAGATTAAATGCAGCTATTTCAATGTAAAGTGCTTATCGGCCATTTGTAATGTTATATATATGCAATGTAAGGCATAGAGTTTCCTTATTCTTTGTCGCTATTTATAATTGCTTGAATAAGTTTGTTCTGTTATTCCCATTTTCAGTTACTAATTTTACATAGCTTTTTGCGCAGTAAACAATATGGATATTTGTTTTCATTTTATGCTTTATGTTAGTGTAATACCCTTAAAAATAGCCCTGACATAAAACTTTAATGCTGGGTCTTTTTTGCTCAGAGATAAAGAATATAATATTGTTTTTCAACTTATTGTTTCCAACTATGTTTACTAAAGCTGTTTAATATTGATATTGTAAACCCAAGATGTCATTGCTTATCTCTCCTGAGATTTTCAAATATCTATCTTAATCGTATGGAAATGAAAAATATGAAAATCAAATATTCAAATCATTCTGATTTATTCAGTATGAAAGATAGCCGCAATGCGCGGAATTCATCCAGATCATGCCTTCGCCATTGTTAATGAAGTCATTAGCTATCGTTTGAGGAATCTTTCAGCATTAGAGCTCGTATGACGTTCTTTCGTAATAGATTGTTGAGACACTGTTCATGTGATTTTCAGATCCATCTCCGGTTATTAAGGCTTTCGAGTCAGCATGAGAGATCATCGCTTGATAGGTTAATCCTCCATTATAGCTTATATTTTCTCCTGTTTTTAGCTCTTGAGCACGGTAATTTGGACACACTGGACCACTATCACTTCTCGTCTCACCCATAGCTTGATATCAGCAAGGTTTATGTAGACAATCTAGAATTTAATCTAATTGTGTGATATTAAATTTCACTTGTGGGTGAATTAGCGCTATTCGTGGAAGACAGTGCGCTATTCTTTTAATCTGACTATCCGCCTGAGACAAAATTCTCATCTGAGGCGTTACCAGTTGACCCATGGTACATAGCTGGTGTCCCTCAGACATTTACCTGTACCTGCCATTCGAGTTCTTCATTTTTTTCTCACTTACTTTGATACATAACGCTGAGTAACACTGATATTTACTCTTTTACGCATAACAATTCGCCAGAGTCACAAATAAGCATCTTTGAATTCTGGGATTATATCGCTCTGTGATTGAGATAAGTAATGATATGTGGGACATTGACGATATCGAAGCATAGTATTATCAAGCCCTAAAACTCAACAAGGAATCTAAATCTCATATGCTCTTTCATTCGATCAGACTCTCATACCATTTAAGCCCCTCATATATATCTTTGATAGGAGCTTGGCGCTTTCAAATTCTATCATTTGTATTCTTGATTGTGACTGCTACCCCCTTTTAATTTAAACAGCGTTGATTGTTTTTCTTCTTGGTGTTACGAATTCAGTGCTGAGCATTGTATTTAATTTTTTAAAAAATATGGATTGGTTGATTGTTTTATATCTTTACCGTTCACCAATTGTATGTACTGAAGATTGTATTACTGTACTGTTGATTGTTTTTCTTCTTGGTATTACGATTTCAGTGTTGAGCAATGTATTTAATTTTTCAAAAATTATGGGTTGGTTGATTTTTTATATCTTTCCCGCTCACTAATTCTTTGTACTAAAATTTGAATACAACTACGCAGTGTTTTTTTTAATTACTTACTATACTTTTTAATTTAATTCTGTTTTGTTGTTTTTCGCTATACTGTGGAGACATATTATCGTTTTTATAATTTATCATCTTCTTGCCTTATATGGGGGAAGACAAGGATCCGATTCTTTTCTTCTTTGAAAAGTTATCTTTGTCTGTACATGACTTTTATACTTAAATTAAGTGGGCTTTCCATAAGTTACAAAACACGTCAGTCTACCGTAACCACCCTGAGGTGTTGCAAAGTAGCATTAAATGTATATGCAATTCATAAACAATGCCTTACACAAGCAAAAAATGCCGAATCACATGGACATACTATCTCACTCTACAGTAATGAGAACAGGGGGAGAAACATTGACTGATACACTGCACTTAGTCTCGAGTTACCAGAAACAACAAAAACTCATGACCCATCACACAGCATGACACATTTTCAATCTGATACATCCCAATCACCGCATGTGAGATCCCTAATTACTCTTTGCTACAGCTACCGCAGACATCACATCGTCAATGTGGAACAGCCATACTAGACTTCTATAAATGGTGCTCTGTGAAAATGCTTAAGAGATGTGAGCAACTAGATTTCAATGGCAAACAGCGAATTTGTGGATATTTTTATTTCAGCTGTCTGCCAGTCGAATTTGTGGATATTTTTATTTCAGCTGTCTGCCAGTCATTCCCTAAAAGGTAACATCATAGGCCTCATACTACATTCATCGTAGTTATAAACGAGGGGTTGAAACCACTTTTAATAACATCGTCTGTTTGTCAATGCTCAAACGTATCTGCTGATGAATTTTTCAGGGCAATATACTCACTTTCCTGAAGATGGTGATGCAATATGTATCATGCTCACAGCATTACTTTTCGTGTCCTTAACTTGGACATCAGGGCATTCTCATTCTGGATTGAAAGCAGCTCTAAAATTTAAGTCAGGATTGATACAAGACCGAGCAAATAATATTGCAAGGTATTTCTCCCGCCTTCCTCGCGTGCTTTCGTGGTATAGTGGTTTTGCACGCTGGGCCGGTATTCCAGAGGTCCATGGTTCGATTCCCGGCGCAGGCGTTTGTTAATTTTTTATCTCTCCGGCTTTTCAAATTAACCTACAGTGGCGCCCAATCTAAAAGACTAGGGAATGATGATTCTCCTCATCCAGGATTTGGCGATTGGGTCTCCTAAAACCCCAGTCGCCCTTTAAAAGGGGGGATGTAAGGTATTTCTCTCGTTTTTTTAGCGTGCCTTCGTGGGGTAGTGGTTTTGAATGTTGGGCCGGTAATCCAGAGGTCCGTGTTTCGATTCCCGGCGAAGGCGTTTGTTAATTTTTCATCTCTCCGGCTTTTCAAATTAACCTTATGTGTCTAAAATATTTGGGTTATCTGTA